TCCGGCTTGTAGAGAGAGAGAGAGAGGGGGGAGAGAGAGAGACAGAGAGAGTGAGAGAGAGAGACAGACAGAGAGAAAGAGAGAGAGAGTGAGAGAGAGACAGACAGACAGAGACAGAGAGAGAGAGAGAGAGAGAGACAGACAGAGAGAGAGGCAGAGAGAGACAGAGAGAGAGAGAGAGAGAGAGAGAGAAAAAGAGAGAGAGAGAGAGCGGCGGCCGAATCAAGCCAAGCTGAACTGGCATGCTTGCGTTCGGACGCTTGACATGCTTGGCGGCATAGCGACGTCGCATGGGCGACGGCGTCCAGCTCGGTCGCAGCACGCCAATGTCTACGCCGCCATCAACTAGTCCCTCGTGCTCTCTTGCTCTGGCCGCCCATATCTCGTCAAGTACACTAAGACAGTCGCCGAAAATCTTTGCCTCGGCTTCGTTCACCGTGGATCGTAGCTTGCCAACAACGTTCTCCCCGAAAATCCACGTAAATAGTGAGAAATAAGCGACATTATGGGACGCAAAACTGTGGAGCGGGCGCGGCATGGATGCGCACGACGCGCCGCAACTCCCCACACACACGCGGAGATATGGCAGGGCCGTGCTACGATCTGCGCAGCGCCCTGCCTTTTGCGCTGCCAGCTGTCAAACGTCAAATATTTTTCGCTCTCGCCGTTGATCCGTTTGCGCGATTTTCATTTTTACTGCCGAACTGCCTTCAATTCTTTGCAGGCTTGCCTCCCACGCGCGGTTTTACTCGGTGCCGCTTGTTTTCAACAAATTTATCATCAACTTTTTTCGCTCTTTGGGTTGGGGTGGGGATAGCTTCGGCAAGAAGCTTCGTCATCTATCGATAATTTGTTTGTAAATTTTATTGCAAAATGAATTTTATAATTAAGTATACTCAAGTAATTGCTTCAGTCGGATGTGCACTTTTCCTCCTTTCTGCAGTCATGGCTCTCGAGCAAGTATTAACATTAATGTGTTAATTGAACGTGGCCGTTTATTTAAAAGTAAATGTGACGATAAGAGGGTGTTACTAAAAAAATCGCTGTTAACAAATAAAAAATGGACGTGCATGGAAGGCTTTTTGTAAAAAAACAAATTAAATCTGACCTTCGTGTTTATCTGAAAATGCGAAATAATAATGAAGAAAAAAAAACGACTCTTACTTGAAAACGTTGTTTAGCATGGCAACTTGTTTCAATATCAAAGAGTAAAAGTTTTACGTATACCGTTGAGCTAAAGTAGTGTTGTTACTTTTCTCTTGGTGCTGCATGAAGAGAAAAACGAAGAAAATAAGAAAAAAAATCAGTGACAAGGCAATAATTAAGATGTGCTCAATTACGCCATCGAATAGCGGCATAGTAGCCGAGGTTCGCGGCATCAACACGAATTCCATCACCTGTAACACTCACTCACTCTCTCTCTCTGTCTCTCTCTCTCTCTCTCTCTGTCTCTCCGTCCTTTCAGCGTCTATTTTTTACCCATATAGACGCTGCTTTAGACGCCGTATGGGCACGAATGTAAACATAATGTTCGCGTTCTGCGTGTGCAACTGAAGAGGCATCCGATCGGTATCCCCTGGGTTGGAATGCCGACGTAACTTTGCGCGTCGATTCTTTCTCTCTTTCTCTCGCGGACGTGACGTAAAGTACGTGAACGCGCCGAGCGGCGCATTGTGTAACTGAGTGTGTCAAGGGCTTCTTTGGCCTGACCGTCTATGTGACCGGCTTGCCGCTTCCCTGCTCCTCATTATCCACCATCCGTCGCACGGGCGGCGACGGAGGAAAGTCATTGCCGGAAAAATGATAAGCTAATTGATCCTCTCACAAAAAGAACAAGCAGAACATTTTTACTTACTGTTCTAAATTAATTGCAGGATATACAGAGTGTGACAAGTTCCACAAAGATTCATTGATTCGGCGCCGTTTTCACCAGATGTTCTAATCCAGTGTACGTTCTTGAATTTTTCGCTATTTTAAAATCTACAGCACTAATAGAATCTAAAAATTCTACACAGTGAACGACTAGATTATTTTTAGTCAGGCAACATTACATAGAATAACCTAATCGAAAAATCGTATAGCATGCACTCTTGAAATTTTTAGGTGGGTGTGCTTTTCTGAATGGTCGAAAAAAATAAAAATGAAAAAATTGGTCCGAATCGATGCATTTTTTCTATGAAATTGGCCATGCGCCCGTACATTTCGCAGCGCGAATTTTATACATTGTAACATGAATATTGTACTGAATACTGTATATGAAATTGTACATTGTACTTATACATGTATAACATTCGCGTTCTTTTCTTCCGCCTTTTGCTAGTTTCGACGCGCGCGCTTCGAAATGTCACGCGAATTTCTACGATTCTGACGCGCATACGTGCCCCGAGCGTTTATCTTTCGCGCGAGTTCAGCTAAAAATGAACGCCACAGCTTTGAATACCTCGGTTGTTTGGTATAGCACTTCGAAGGTTAGAAGACCTCTCGCGGTCACACGCATAAAGGCGTTCGGCGAATTATGCAGGCTGACATAGCTTTCCGCGCGAACTTTTAAGTGTATGCGTTCGACTGACTTTTTAACGAGTGTTTGCGCGCACATGGATACATAAGATTCCCGCGCAAAAACACTACGTGTAGGCATAAGTTGGACGACTTGTTGGTTTGCGTGGGGGGGGGGGGGGTCAAAGTGCGCGGCAGCTGCGAGCAAATCGCACCAAACAGCCTGCTGCTATGTATGCGTGCAGGTTCCAACAGGTTGCAGAAAAAGAAAGAAAGAGCGCGCAGGGGGAACGTGTGCAAGCCGACAAAAAAGAAGTTCCAATGGGGACCGTCTCCCAGTAAACGTGTGTGTGGTGTGTATGTGTGTGTGCGCGCGCGCGTGTGTGTGAACGTTATGTTTACCCGCTCATCAAAACGCATTTTCATTCGAATTTACGGCTGCTGCTTTTTTATGTACTTGACTGTACATAGGTACTGCCATCATGATCATCCAAGTGACACTCAACATTGCTACATTGTCTATTGTTCTCCAGATCCTTTTAAACCCTATCGCCGTTATGGCCGACAGGTTTTATTGGATTTTGTTTTAGGTTGCTTTACGCGTTAAACCTATACAGTTGCAATTTTTGTGTCAAGTATCTCTTGTTTTCAAAAATACTTGCTTTCACAATAGAAACGCGACTTCTTGAACATCTTTACGGGTCCAAGGTAACTTGCAGGTCGAGTGTATAACGATTAGTAAATCAATTGGCAGTAGAGTAAGTATCTGTAAATTTGCATACACAAGGTCTCAACGTCAATACAATCTGCAGAAAACTCTATGTGCGCTGTTTGTGCAATCATTGTAAACGACAACAACATTCAAAAGTGTTTGCGCGAGAGTTTTGATATAGGAATATGAGAAAGTGAAGCAAGAGAACGGAGGCGTAAAAGCGAAACTAATGGAGCGCGGAGAAAGAACAAATGAGTGGTGTGTAAGATACGAAGAGAGAGAAAGAGAGAGAGAGAGAGAGAGAGAGAAATACAACAGGAAGTGGAACCGCATTCTGGAGGGAAGCTTGTATTCATCCGTCTAGCTCTTACGGCTCGTTCCTTCGTCGCGAGCATGCTGCGGCAGCGAAACTTCCGTTAAGCACAACGCTTGTCATTCAATTTGGCAAACAGTCGTACGCGTACACGCGTGTGTTCATAAATCTTTTGTTAATATGCATCGGACGGATGGAGAAGTGAAGACTGGTAAAAAAAACTACAGTGTACTACGGCGGCAACCTCGTGTAGCCAACGTCGTCGTCGTCGTCGTCGTCGTCGTCGTCGTCGTCGTCGTCGTCGTCGTCGTCGTCGTCGTCGTCGTACGCGTGTACCTGTTATTACGAGCGTCCGGTGCATCGGCGACTCTATGGTACTTCGCATCGGCGCGTGTCTCCTCTACTAGTTTACGTTTCGCCCTGCACGCGCACTTGTATCACGGCGAGTGCGCGCGCGTGCATTTACCTGCGCTCCCGCGGCCTTTACGCACAACCACTCGCGAGCGCCGATTTTTCAAGGTTCCATTATCAGCCGAGCGCGACGCGCTTCCCTCGACTTTGCGAAATTTTACTCTGCTTTGCCTTTCGACGCGCGAGTGTCTCATTTTTTTTCCGCAGGTTCCTCTCCGCGCGCTGACTTATTTCGCCGCTTTTATTCGACTTTCATCGGTATTCGGTTACCTGCCGCATAGACGGAAGAGAAAAAAAATTGCCGAGTACAGTTTGGATTTGATATTTTGCCGCCGCGCGCTCGCGCTTACTCCCGAAGAATTTCGCTGAGTTTGCTGTGTATTTCATTCAGTTCGTATTTACATTTGTCCGTCTTCCCCGAGCGTCCAGTCGAGAAAATCATGGGAATTATTTAAAGTTGCCATAATCAATCGAATTTAAAAATCACGATTGTTTGAAAATATTAGTAATTTATGCATCTTTATTCTCTATTGGAACAACACGTCGTCAAAAATAATAAACGAAAGAGTCTTTGAATTTTCAAAGCAACCAAAGTGAAGTTAAAGCGCGAGCGCCGTCTAGTAACATACTGAGGTCTGATCAGCCAAAAGGCGAGCGAGGTGCGAGAAAAGCTATAGCGTGTGTACTATTCATCTCGGGTGTTTCAAAGAAATTTAATAGTAGCGTGGTGCGTAAGGGAGAGTAGGGGGCACGTGCGAGCGTAGGAGGGGGAAGAAGCACAGGCAGTTATCTAGAAGAAATAAGGAATGGTGGGGTGCGAAGGGAGGAAACGAAGAGAAAAAGAGAGAAAGAGAGAGAGAGAGAGAGAGAGAGGGAGAGAGAGAGAGAGAGAGCGAGAGCAGATATGGGAAAGGGAGGGAGGTAGCGACGGCTCTGAGCGGGCTCGGCGTGCGTACGGGCCTGGCGCCCGTCGCGCCGCCGATTGAGAGAGCGTGGAGTAGTAGTGGAAGAAGATGGAAGCGCTCTCCGGCAAGCGGCAGCAGTCAGACAGTGCACCGTTCAGTCGCCTTTAATCGGCTCGAAAGCGCGCAAGGCTCAGGGAGTTCTCTCGCTCTCCTCTACTTTCTCCGGCTCGGCTCTCACCCCAGCCTACAAAGTCTCTCTTCGCCCACGAAAAGAATGATCTGTGCAGGTCTTCCCGTCATTGTCATAGTCAGTCTAGGAAGCCGCTCGCCTTCGCGCTATCAATCCAGTATACCGCAGTCCAGTTATCACAGCAGTTCGCGTAGTTTCGCCTACAGAACTTTGGGCCGCGACTAGGCCTCCTGACATCTCATCATCGGAACTGTGAATTTCTGTGCATACCGTCTTACACTCGATCTCTCAACCGAGTGCCTGGTGCGCGTCATCCGCGAGAAACAAAAGACGAGAAGAGGTCGTGTGCGTGCCGGCTAGAAGAGCCGCTCCCGCGCTTCTTCTCTTACCACTGCTACGGACCTTCGTCTCTTCTGCGAGAGATTGCTGCTGCCAGCGGCATTCCTGCAGACGCCCACTTTCCTACCACTCGCGTGTGTACTTTGACTGAATAAAAAAGTGCCTGCGCCCGACAGTGACAGTTTGAAGCCACGAGCCTTCAACAATCCTTTTCAAATTTGGACCCTCTGTTGTTTTCGTCACAACTGTTTACATGTTTTCGTTTAGGTAAGTTCATGTTACATATGTTCTGCTATCACACGCTTTTCTTTGCACATGAGCTTTTGCGGTTTGACAGCGCCAGTCGTCATAGTCTTTGAACCGCTCACCAGAACCAACTGCGCCTTAGTCTAGCATCAGTCAACGCTATTTTGCAAACAAGTCGTTTTCAAACCTTTTCTTTTATAGTGATAAAAATCATTGATATCTGCCTTCTCAACAGTTGCACTTCCGTGAACGAAGTGACAAGGCTGGCTAGGGCAGTGTTGGTTCTGCGAAAGCCGGCTCGTGGGTTTTTCGCGCGACGACATATAGCCGGGCGGCGCGGAAAACGACGCTACTTGTGCGCAATTATCGATCCGTCGTGGCGGCGCCGGTGGCCGGCTTCTCTCTTTCTCTCTCTCTCTCTCTCGCCGGGTCGTCACTCTTCGGTTGCACGTGTGTTGGCGGGCGCGGCGCGACCTCGCCACCGTGCTTTTTTTTCTTTATCAGGACTCGCCGCCGTGTATAGTTCGCTTGTCTTTTTTTTCCGGAGCGAGAAATCAGCCCGATTCGACGAAGTCGGCTCACTCGTCGGCCCTTTCGCACATGCTACGTCTATCAAATATCGCAGCGTCGTTTTTCGAGATTACTCCCGAAGACGAAGCCCGGTCATTCCTACATACTCGGATATACTATTTCACTTTCACATAGGTGGCATTTACGTGAACATCGGGAAATTCTCTCGTCTTGTATTATTTTCTCTAAATGAGAAGCTTTTAACAGTTATACCCTTCACGGATGATGTTTATCTTGATATGAAAACAAAATAGTTGCTTTATTTTCATAAATGACATTCGAGGAACCTGTAGTTGACGCGGAGCGATCAATCGTGAATTTTAATGATTTTATAGTTTCCCAGTTCGAATCTCTGCTGTCAAATGAATCGTTCAAAGGAGATCGAGCAAATATTTGACTGTTTTGGTTGATTTAGAAGTGAAGCATTAGCGAGTTAAATCGTTCTCTCGTTGAGTGGCAATTTCGTGCTAGGCAATTCAAAGCAATAAACTGTGCAATAATCTATTGTAGAGATTTTACAAGTTCACAAACGAAATAGCGGTTTGGTTACGCAACGTTCCGCAACATGCGCGGCGCCGGAATTTTCGGCCAGCAGCTATAAAACGGGCACAAAGTCGCACGCTATCATTACAATTGAAAAGTCTGTAAAATCTGAGCAGGAGTGCGCGTGTTTCTAAATTAAAACGCAAGTTGGTCAAACTCTCGTGAATTCATTATCCAGGAAGAAAGCGCGATGTTAGTTTTCATTGTATCAGTCAAATAAAAGAGCGCTCATAAAGCTTTCATTTTAAAATTTCAATTTGCAATTCTAACCCGCGCTGCTCGTTTTTCTCAACATTTCGAACACTTCAGTGGTTCGCGAAAAAAAATATAATACGATGAGAAACGTTTCCGGTTTAATACACAATCGGTCGTAATAGTGTTTCTCTAGGCTGGTGATTTATTATTGAGTAAGATGACATTTCGATTGCAACTGACGCTTATCTCGCTAATACAAACAAAACGCGATTTACATAGTAAAACATTGTGAAAAATGTTGTATATTGCTATATTGCTATGTACAATTCAATATTCAGTATGATTATTCAATTGTTTGTTAGTCCGACTTGAAAATTAATCCAGTTTGAGGATAAACGGCCGTCTTATCTGCCAACGGCGCGTGCTAAAAGAAATGAATTCGTTTGTCGAATAGGCGGCTCACAAAAGTCACTTGTATATATGGATATTTTGATACATATTCTGTATGTTTAAACATGAACGATAGCATATTTCGATTTAGAGAGCAATAAACAAAACGAGAGATATGGCGCCACACCATGCTAATATCAACAAATTATTTATTATATTGGAACACTATTCGACCTCTGGGTCTCTGTCACTCTGGATACTCTAGGTGACCTGTAAATAAACTGTTGGCGTTTTTTTTTTTCGCACTCTCTCTCTCTCTGTCTCGCTCTCGCTCTCTCTCTCTTGCTCGATACGCCTTTGTGTGTCAAGTCAATAGAGCTTGAGTGGGTCATTTGGTATTCCCTTTAATTTTGATCGCATTTAAGTTTTTCATGCAAAGGTAGTGTACGTTAAAATTCAGCTTGCAAGTCACCAAATGAAAGGAAGAGAAAAAAAGCTAGCGTTCCAGTCGAAAAATACACGTAAAAGCAAACGGGTGCTTTCATAATTTCAGCGATCTCTCGTTTCCCATGCATCACGTTGGCGAGTGGTCGGTATATCCACGGGTCTTTGTATCGCTCGTCTAGGGGATAAAGAGAGGATAGAAAGGCCCCTCTCCCGTTCTGTCTCGCGGTGTGGCGATATAACGCGTCATTGTTTTTCTCTCCGACGGTGAGTTTTTACGGGCCGGCGAGTTACAATAAAGTCCTCGCGCCATTGTCACCAGTCGATTCATCTTTTAAAAGGAAAAAAAGGAAGCGGCGCGCGCGTACACATCAACAAATGCACAAGAGGACCCGAGTTCTCACGGGAATTTGGCCAATTGGCGAAATCGCGCGCGCAAAGCACATTCAAGGATTTGCGGAATGAATGCATTAATCCGAGTTGATCTCCCGAAGAGCGAGGTTGCCGCGCCGTTACAGCCCATTACAGGCGCTGTCGCAAGCGCAACGCGGGCGTTTCGCCGGCCGGCCGGCATCGCGGCGTCGTGCGTTCGGCCGCCCCCACCGCCGCCCACGCCGCTAGCCGGTGCATCGATCGCAGCGCACGTGAGTGACCGACTGCCGCCTCGCGCCGACTTTCGACACAGTGCGCGCGCGCGTACAATGATTAGGGTCTAATGGTTTGCCCGTCTGTGTGACGCAGAATGCCAATTCCCGCATGGGACGCATATACATGCGAGCCCCAGGAAATCGTCACGCTCGTTTCCGACGACATCTGGAAAAAGTTCGACCTGGACAATCCCGAATACTCGTACGGTAGCCCCCCCAAGGATGAGCCAGCGTCCACCCCGACCACGATGACTGTGTCGTCGTCGCCATACTACGAGGCTCCGATAGTGAAGGTCGACAAATTCGACTACCAGAACGTCTTCACCGACATACGCCACCACGACTGCATGTGGACTGGACTGTGCATCAATAAGGAACATGGCCGCGAGGATTCCGACCAGGAGATGCAGATTCAGACCATGGTACCGGCTGGGCGGAGCCTCCTCATAGCCAAGAACTTGCAGCAGCAGCAAGTGCAAAAGACCTGCTATTTCCATCACACGTACGACGGCAACCACTGGCACAGCAACGTCTCGTCGACGGTGGTCGCCGTTAAGCAGCTAGAGAGCGACGGCGACTCGGCGCGACCCGACACGCCGCAGACCAGCCACGGGAGTGAAAGCGAGGAGAACATCGAGGGCGAAGAGAACGAGGAGGAGGAGGAGGAAGAGGAGGAGGAGGAGGAGGAGAGGTTCGAGGAGGCCGAGGATGACGAAGACGAGGTGCTGATGTTCAAGCACGATCAGATCAGCATCAACGACATCGTGTCGGTGAGCGAGGTGACTGGGCAATACCTGCAGAGGAGAGACACCACCGTCATCACCACCACAACTACTACGACCACCACCACCACCACTACCACCAACACCACCACCACCGACTTGTACGACAGGAGGATAGAGGAGCGGATCAACAACATGAGAAACACCCTGATGAGCGATCACTGCTACCACCTCAGTCAGCAGCAGGCGCCCGTCGTTAAGAACAAGGCCTACGACAACCTTGGCGTGCAGACACCCTCGGAATCTGGTGAGTTGCTATCCTAAGTTCCCACTATTAGCCCTATTTTTAAATTTTTTCCTGCATCCCTGAGCGAGCGGCGTTGGCTGGCCCTCTTTGCCGTTGCGATCCTATCGCAGACCGGGCTTCTCTGCGATAGACACTGCCTCGCCACTCAGTCCGAAGCACTGGCCCGTCTTGTCGAGGCGCGAGCACGCCCAAGTGCTTATGAGGCCGGGGAACGCCGTGTGCTCGGTTATCGATTGGCGGCTCAATCGGAGTCTTGATTTGCCCCACGTGTGCTAGCGTGCGAAAGCGATCGAATCCTGGCTACAAGAGCAGCGAGCCTCCGGTGTCGTGCGCGCGTGTGTTGACCCCCCCACGGAAAGGCGGTCGCGCGGCGCGCAGTCCGCGAGACGCCAGAGCCGAGCCTCGGCCCGGGCGGCCACACGAGCGTTGGTAAGTCGAGATCGACGGCGTCGCGCGCGAGACCGGCAAGGTTAAAGCCCGATGGCGAGGCTGCGCCGGGAGAGCGCGGCAGGTAGAATCGCGGCGCGCGCGGCATAACGGTAAAGAGCGCCGGAGGAATGCGATTGCGATTCGGTATGCGCGCCGCGGAAAAAATCAGTGCATTCTGGTTTCTCCCCGCCGCCGCGCACGTCCGCGTCGTCCCCGCGGCGCGTACCTCGGCGCCGGCTATCTCGCATCGGGGGAGGGGGGGGCGGCTCGCGCGACGACAGTCCGCGACGGACAAATTGCCGACTGAGAAGCGCTCGTCCAGCGGCCGCGAGGAGACCGCGCGTAAAACAAGCAGCGCGATTAGCATACAAAGCCGAGCGCTCGCCGAGCGCTCGCCGAGTGCCACGAGTTAAAAGACTCGTTCTCCCGCGCTATCTGCCGCGGCATTTAAACCGGCGAGCCAGGAGCGCGCCGTCACGTGGCCGGGCGGCCGCGGTTGCGCCATGCCGCGACATCGCTGCGAGCGCTCGGCCCCGCGCTTCGGAATCACTTTCATTCGCTGCTCGCGGGTCGCGCTGCTGGTATAGGTGGAGTCGCCGCGCGAGGCGCTTTATTTGCGGAATGCATCGGCCGAGTGGCCAACGCTCCGCTGACCGAGTTCGCTAACAGGCCCAGCGATTACCAGCCAATAGCCGCTGTCGGGCGCGTCGCTCGCGACACCCGTCGGATCTTTTCCTTGCGTAAAAAGCCGCTGTACGGCCACTCGCGGAAGCGCCAAACGCTCGGGCCCCGTCGATTTTCTCCCTCTCTCGCTCGCTCTTTTTGGCAGCGGCGCCATCGCGTTCGACGGGGAGACAGACGCGTTCCCGAGAAGGAGGACGATGACTAAAGCTGAGTCTGTTACGATCGGCGGGCATATGCGGGTCCAAATTAAACAGTCAGTTCTGCGAATGAATGAGTTGTATACACGACGCGCGCGCACAGGCGCGATAATCTCTTTGTATCGAGAGAGCTGGCCTGTGCCGCCGCGAGGCCCATTCATGCGCTCTCTCGCCGGCAGTTGCGTCAGCCCAGCGCACTACGCTATATCGTCGAATGCAGGCCAGTCGATCCGCGATAAGCTCGATTTCTCGTTACGAAATCCGCTTGGTTCTCTCGGGATGCGTCGCCCGCGTGCCCTGCGAAAGCAGCATCCGCTCGGCATTTTTCGAATGCGCTCGAAATTGGCGCTGCCGCCTTCAACAGCGCGGAGAGCGCGCTCCGCCTGTCGAGCTAGCAACGAAGAACGGACAGCCAGCCCGCGAGGGTCCGTTATCTCCTCTCCGTCTGGCGCGCGCGCGCGCGGAAAGTTCCGAAATTCAAATGCCTGGCGGTGGCGTGGCACGCAGCGGCGCAACGCACGGGGCGGGCGAGGAGCGCGCGAAAAGGCGCGTGTGCGGGGCTCGGCGCGCGCATGCGCCTCGAAAAGCGCGGGCTGCCGAAGGTCACGAGACGACGGCAGTGGCGGGGCGCGGCTGACGTCAGCGCCGGCCGACCGGCGCGCTCTCTCCTCGTCGCCTTCCGCGGGTCCGCGCGCGGCGTGGGATCTCGAGTTTAAATGCTCCTCGGAATGCGATTAGCCCTTTTTGCTCGCGTCTCGCCAGACCGCGCCGCCAGGGCCGTGCGATTCGGCTCCTCCTGCCTGGAGCCCGATCGCCGCCGAATCGCTCGGACGCGGTCGCGGCTCGCTTTGCCGGCGCGGAGGGCCGCATTGTATTGTAATTTTATCCGGCCGAGCGAGCAGCTCGACGGCGTTTCGCGAGCAAAAACGCGCGGACAGAACGGCACGCGGTCTGCGGCAAGGCCGCGCGTGCCGGCTTCGACCGAGTCGAGACGATGCTCGTGTTCTTCTGTTCGCGCTTTTCACTGGGCGAACGCGCCCCGAGCGAGCGTCGTGGAAAAGCCGTTGCCGCGCGCCAACTCATCACGGCTGCTTCGCGACACGGTCGCGGAGAGAGATGATCGGCCGGCAAAAACAGTAAAAGCGAGCGGCGTCGCCTACAACGAGAGTCGTTATTTCCTCTCGAAGAATGCCGCGTCGGGACGACGGGCGCGGACAGGAGCTCCTTCCAAGTCGCTGACATGCGCGCACGTGCGTCACGTCGGTCGAAATTAGGAGGCAAGCTAACGCGCTTTACTCGACGAACGTGTGCGCTGTTCGATTTGCCAAAGGCCGGAGCGAGCATTGTGAAAGACAAGCGAGTCAGTGGGAGCATAGTAAGAGGAGAAGGTGGTAGTAGTCGTAGTAATATCGTAGCGTAAAATACGCTTCACGTGACGACTCGTACACGTCATCTGCTCGGCTCGTCTTCTTTCCGGCACTTATATATCGCACTCAGCGCACTCTCGCTCTCTCGCTATACAGTATTCGCACGCTAATGAACGGCCGAATGAATGGATTGCGTCAGCGACCTCAGAAGCGCTTCATTTCGAGGCCGCCAACTCTCTCCATCGCGTTCTCCCGCGGACCGATGCATCTTCTTTTCTGCCTCTTCCTTTCCTCCGTTTCCTTCTGTTTCGCTTTGAAATCGAACGAAAGCTGATGCCCCACCTCTCCTCCTCGCCGCCGCGTGATAATGTAAGTAGCAGCATATGTTGCACCCGAGTTATGAGTCATGTTAAATACCTCGGCGGCGATTTAATCTACGAGTTCGAGCCTTTTCTCGCTTCCTCGCTGTTATGCAGAAGCCTTCGTTAAACGATCTTTGGGCAATACGAAACTTTCGCGTAATAATGCCTCGACGACTTCCGCTCGAACAAGAAACCTTTCCTTTATTCGCAGTCGCCCACCCGTGTGCGCAATAATTTCGCTCTGTAAACACTTATCGTTCATTACGCCAAGTCACTCGATAAGCTTGCCAAAAGCGACGGGCTTGCGACGGACGGCCGGGGAAGGCGCGCGCGTCCTCGGCAAAAGAAGCTGCCACACATTCGGCCGGCTTAATTGAAAATTTTCACTATTCGTCAGGCAATCTCGCGGCGACGGGGGCACGTTGCGACGCGCCGAAATGACTCTTGGATTACGTTGAAATTAGAGGCAGAGCTGCTCGCGCAACAACGTTCGTCGGTGGGACTTCCCGGGCGTGCATGCGCCACGGCGTAGGTGTAGGTTGGGTGTGAAATTGGCAGACAGGAGCCCCGAGTGGTGTCCAGCAGTGGTGGCGGCGGCGGAGCGTCGGGAGCCAAAAGAGACAGAGTGAGAAAGAGAGAGAAGGAAAGAGCCGCTGACGGCCACATTCCATCGGCCGGCGGTTCAACGAACCAGGCCGACGCGCTAGTTACATCTAAGCCGAAAGTTCGTCGGCAAACGCTCTAACAGCGCTCTGCATCGCCGGCGAAAGTCTCGTCGCGTTGAAAAAATTGGGCTTACCGATATCGCTCGCGGCTGCTCCCGTAGAAAAAGGCGCGAGATCGATCGCGCGCGCGGGAGAGCGGCGTTCACACACGCGCGCACAGTTGGACCGGGGGGGGGGGGGGAGAAGGAAAGCCTTTTGTTCCGTTTCAAGGGTTTAGCCCTAGCTTTGCCCTCACCCCCCGTTTCTTCCTTCCTTTCTCGCTCGCTTCTTTTCTTTCCTTCAGCTTGCACCCCTCGTGCGCGCGCACAAGAGAGGGAGAGAGTTCCGCGCGAATGGAAGGAGAGCGGCGCCGACCTTTCTTCCCGTGCGCGTTGAATCTGCTCGATTGCGATGCGCACTCTGCGTCTCGCTGGCTTTGGCCTTTGCCCAGCAGCGTTATTCGACGAGGAGCGCGGGCTGCGAGCGGGCATCTCTCTCTCTCTCTCTCTCTCTCTCTCTCTCTCTCTCGGAAAGTGCAAGTTCGCGCGATCCTGGCAGTTTCGATGACCCTCTCTTGCTCCTCTTCGCTTCTCCGGATCGCCGTCGATTAATGTCGCGCGCGCTTACTGGGCGCCGGAGTGTTTTATATTTTTATTCGCGGAGCAGCGAATTGCCAGCGACAGATACAAGCCCGCTTTGACGGAATGGTTGCAGGTGATTCGATTAGGGAAGGCACCGCCCGGGCGCAAGTTGAGCCTTCGTGAGAAAACTTTTTCATTGAAGCCCTGCCTCTTCATTTTTTTCTATCGTCATTGAATTATGCTATACTCGGAAGCACCGCCAGCTAGAGTACAGCTTTTGAAGCGAGCGAGCGGCAATAAACGAGCGATTCACTCAATTTCGCGGACTCAAGAATTAGCATCAATTAAAGTTCAGGATACTCGAGCATTAATTACGCCGAAGCAGCTCCGCGTCTCTCGTTCTGAGTCAGTCGTTCGAGCAGTTGAGTCGAAAGTGCCTCTCGCCATCGTCACTGCTCTCTTCCTGCTCTCTCGTAGCTTTCCAACTGTAAATCGCGCGCTCGCCGACAGCCCCACGCACGCGCTCTCGCGCGCGCGCGCGCGCGCGTCTCCGCGAGTTATTTTTCGGATCTGCGGATCGATCCAAGCACCGCGGCTACCTGCGTACTGACGCCGATCAAAGTCTCGTTATAGAGAGGTGCGCTCCGTCACTCGGTTGGAACGTGACAGGCGGCAGACAGGCGCTCGAGAGTCGCCGGGGGGGGGGGGGGGGCACCCACGCCGCGTTCCGGCGCAAAATGCAGAGGAGCTAGACGCTATCTCCATCTCGCTCGCTGTCTGCGAATGCACTATTCCTAGATGTAGGTCAGGCCGGCGCGCACCGAGCGCCGCTGTATTTTCAACGACACCGCTTTTCACTAATGACCGGGAACCCCTGAACTTTGCCAGCGCCCACTTTCTTCCTCCTCCCCCGCGTATTCGGCTATTTCGACTGTTCAATGCAGCTGCCCGCTATCGGGGAACGTAACCCCGACGTCGAGTCGAACGGGCGCTCGTTTCGCGATAAGGAAATCCATCCTCCGTTAAAGCTCTCCGCCGATTTCCCAAAACCGTGCTTCCACGATATTTAGCAATTTGGCGTCTTCGGGATATCGTCTGACGGGTGGAAGAGGCTCTGAGCGCGAAGGTCAACGACGAAGGGTTCAAGAAACAGGCCGAGTTTGGCCTTGCCCCGAGAGATGATAGCGAGAAGTGAGGTGGGGGGAGAAAGGGGTCGACGCCCCGATGCGGCTCGAGTGAGCGTTCGATAGACCCTGTCGACGTCCCCTCGTTCCTCTTCTGGCGCGCCCGCGCATTGAAATATCGCCGGAGCCCACTGACCCCCCAAGGGTCGCGACTATGCGACACGTGCGCCCCTCCCCCACCCCTATCACCAGCATATCCATCTCTATCTGACCCGCTCTGCCTCTCTCTCTCTCTCTCTCTCTCTCTCTGCTCTTTCTCGCTGCGGAAAATTGGTTACTTATATCGAAATCTCATACGGACTCTTAATTTTTTTCCTCTCCCTAATCGAATCGTACAAACTCTCGACCATACGCTCGAACATCTCTGAAACATATTCCATCCATTACTTTATATAGATGTACTGTTCTTGTTTTTCTTTTCTATCCCCTCGCACATGAGCAGCAGTAACCACGGGGAAAGATCCCGCTTTTTCCCGCCTGCGCCAATATGCGCAACGATTTTCTTTGTCCGCCGCTAGGCAGCTTCCCAATATTTTCTCGTTTTCTCTTTCTTTCTCTCTCTCTCTCTCTCTCTCTCTCTCTCTCTCTCTCTCTCTCTCTCTCTCTCTCTCTCTCTCTCTCTCTCTCTCTCTCTCTCTCCTCTCTCTCTCTCTCCTCTCTCTCTCTCTCTCTCTCTCTCTCTCTCTCTCTTTCTCTTTCTCTGGCTAGCGTGCCACGTGCGAAGTTCAGCCTGCCATTCTTCGTGTGCCAGCGTGATCCCGCTGCTGACCGAAAGTACCTTTTATTGCACTAATTTGCTTGATAGGAGGTCAATCTAAATAGATCGGGAGAGAAAGATAAGTCCCTCGGTAAAAGAAGCGCTTGTAATTTTTATTATTTTCGATCGCGCCTTATCTGCAGCTCACATCAGCTCCTTGCATCACTCCCCCGATTGTCCAAATTAATTAATTTCGCAAAATCGCGCTTGCGTGCTGCGGCCGTCTCAGGGTACAATGCGTCGGCAGAATCAGCGATACGTGGCTCGCATTTCAATGTTCTTCCACCTACGCTCGCATTTCCGCTTTCCCGATAAATCAAACTGACGCAGCGGTTGCAAGCGCACTTGTAATCTGCGTCGGCTGGATTGTTCGTTAGTTTCTTCGGAAGCAGTTCTCGCGCTCGGCTAGATGTGATTATCTAATAAAAAGAGAAGAGCGCGACGAGGAGGGAGGGGGGGGGGGCATAGCTGTGCGCGTCTGGAGCCGCAACAGGACTATGTTTAGGCCTTCTCTGGTGCTCTCTCCGTCTCTTTCTGTTTCGGATGCATGGCTGCCTGCCAAAAGCTAGGAGGAAAAGCCGCACGAAAGTTTAGGGCTATTCTCGATCTGTGGGCGCAGTCAATCCGCGCACCACGAGAGGCTCAGTGCATACGTGGTCGAGCTCCTCTCTGACAGCTTCTTCCTCGTTCCACTAGCCGGTCTTTGCTCCATACCGGCGCGCTCGCCGCGCGGCTTTCCTCCCACTTCCGCTGTCCTTTGAAGCCGCGTTGACGGCTGCGTTGATCCGAACGATAAAAGCGGCTAAAGTTATGCAATACGGATGAGAGTCGAGAAACTGGTGAGAAAACAAGTAGCACCAGTCAGCGCGCGCAACGACAGTGAATCGCGCGTCTCGTGAGTCATCCACCATATGATACATCCTACTCGCATATGGCGGCTAACGTGCATTCTAACCCAGATTAGCGTAATCCGATAGCCCCTTCTAGCCCCGGCCGGTGGCACAGCCCTGTGGTAGCTCCTAAATAAAACGCGCGCGGGGCATTTGACGCCGACGAGCGCTGAGGGAAACTCGACGCGTGTGGAAAAGTGCTGCCCGTAAAGGTGGAGCTGTGCGCACGTGGCTTCGACAATGAGGGGGAGCTAGCCGAAGGTCGCCTCATCGAATTTTCACCCCCGACCCTCCGTGCGAACCTCAGTGGAGAGCGACCGTATTAACGAAAAAATCCTGTTGTTGAAATTACAGAGGAGGAGATCGACGTGGTGTCGTGGGACAAACCCACGAAACCAAATAATACACCGACAGCTGCGCAAAGCTACTTCAACCAGGTCGAGCAGCAGCGCGTGAAGATCACAGTCAGCGCGACTCCGAAGGGCCGTCAAAGAAGGAATAAGCAGACTCAAGGCGCCGCGCAGCAGTCGACAACCGCGCCGGCGACGTTCGCCACTCCGGCGCCCAGACCCAGAGGCCGGCCGCCCAGCAGTGCCACGATAGCCTCGAGGAAGCGCGCCGCCGCCGCCGCCGCTGCCGCCGCCGCCGCCATGGAGCAGGCACAAGTCAACGAGGAGGGCCCCACGGCCAACAAGCGACTCAAGCTGGAGCAGCAGAAGCCGCAGCCGCAGCCACAGCGGAAGCGCGCGTACATCAGGCGGCAGCCCGTCGTCAGTCGGTGCTCGCCGACGTCGCCGAACGCGCGGGCCACCTCCAGGGCCAGCCTGCGGGCGTTCTCCTCGTCGGATTCCGAATCCGAGGACAAGCGCTCCCTGCACAACAACATGGAGCGCCAGAGGCGGATAGACTTGAGGAACAACTTCGACGACCTGCGCGTGCTGGTACCCTCGATACAGGACAAGCACAAGGCAGCCAAAGTCACCATCCTCAGGCAGTCCGCTGCCTTCTGTGATAAGCTGGTTGCTCAGGAGCAGAACTACCTCAGGAGGGTCGCCGAGCTGCAGGCAAAGCAGGAAATCCTCAAGGCCCAGCTGGGTCACCTGCGGCGCAGCCTCGCCATGATGCGCTGAGCGACCAGCAGCTCTGCGCCCCTGCTCCCGGCACCCCCGCAACAACAGTGATTATCGTTCATTATAGCTCGCGGCTGGACCGCCCACAGCCTACTGTACTTCCAGCTCTGTCCCAGGGCTGGACTTGCTCGTTCCTCACTTTCGCCGCTTATCTCGCATTCTCCTAACCCTGCTCCGTGGATATCGTAAGCATCAATCCGGTAGCAGCCAAGTCCGCAACGGCAGTCCACCCGCGCTGGATGCATGCTTACGCTGGGTTTCCTTCAAGCCCCCCCCCCCCCCGTCTTCTTCACCACTTTGCAATGTTTACCCCTTTGAAAGAAAACGAAGCATGTTATTCATGTGTATTCAGATGTACAAAAGCTATTAGATGATCGCATAGATAGCGTAGCCACGCGGACGAGTGATGATCCTTTCAGGAAAACGCGCGAAGCGTTGGATAGACTGCTGGTCGTGGAGATGCGTCTCCGCGCGACCTCGGACGCTTCCTATGCACGTACACACACGCGCACTCATACACGCGCGCGCGCACGCACGCATGCACGCATACACACACAAATACACGCACACACAAACACACACACACATACGCGCGCGCTCTGTTTTTTACCGCGCCTGGCGCGACACACTTGTGTGATATAATACTACTAAAGAAGTATATGATTATCTCGAAACTGCTATATATCGTTTGTTTTAGTGAGTAAGATGGAAAAAAAAATGTTTTTTTTCTAGCGCCATACGTTAGCGTGTCTCGCGAGTGTATCGGGCGTGAGATTCGTTTACAGATAGCAAAAACCAGTAGTTAAATTGAAAATAGCATGTGAAGATATATTCATTGCAGATATATATTATTGCGTGCTCGGAATGACTGCGTTTTTATACGCAACTCAGTTTTCCACCGACTCTGCTCTCGAAAAAACGACGTGCACGCATACAGCAAGACTATATATTTTTTGAAACACATACACGCAACGTGGAGCGTTTTGAAAAGAAGCAAAATAGTAAACAGAAAACCTGTAAGTCCAACGAAAATAGCCAAGACTGACCGAACCTTGGGTCTTGGCTTTAACTGCGAAAATTAATAGCGCCTCCCCGATACGCAACTAATTAAACTCGCAAAGTAAATAATATTTTTTATAATACATTTTCTTTTTGTCTCTCCTCAAATCGACACTAAAATACCGATTGACAAATCAAGCTTGACATTTAAGCATACAAGTTATTGTTTTACATTTTCTGTTTATCAATATTATGTACATAAATAAGACTATTACGATGCATACGTTTATATATAAATATACAACTTATATACTGTATTATGATAAAATCATCTACAAAGTATATTATTATACTTTAGTAGTTATTATCGAGTGAGAGATAAAAGAAATTGCAACGACAGCAAGAATGTAATATTCTAAATATCATAACTATTATTCTTATTATTATTATATTATTCTTTTTCATTATTAATTATGAGTATGCTATTATTATATTGTTTTATTTACAAATATGGCTACATGTCTTTTTTCTAGAGTTCAAATTTTTTAATAAAATGTAATTTTAACAAAAGTTAGCATCGATGATAAAGCATCGAAGTCGCCAGCGACTATAATAAACATTTTTGAAATACGCGAAAAGAAAAGAATGCGTACAGTTTTTGTTTTCCGTGAGTGTGCGTTTATTTTTTTGTAGTTAGTAAGAAACTTGAAAAGTAGCATTGATCGCGAAAAATACAATAAAGTGTTAGATAGCAGGTGTCGTAGGGCGCCAGAGCGAATCAGTTTGCAAGGAAATCAATTGTATGAATGAAGTAAAATAGTAGAAGTAAAAAAGCAGATGTGTTCATTAAGTTTCTAGGTTCAGTATTCATTTTTATCGAATTTTTCGAAGTACTCGAAAAATCTATAAACCAGAGAAGCTACCCAGATACATATAAAATAGTGATTAAATCATAGTCAAAATAGGAAAAAAAAACTCTTAACCTTAAATAGAGTAAAATTAGTACGTTCGCCGAAGAAAACGCTTTTTACGGTAGACTTGAACGAAATGAGAGCGAAAGGGATATGGGAAATATCAGCCAGGAGACAAGAAAAGAAACGACGTGTACAGGAAACCTTGAGCAGAAATACAATGGTTTCCCGATGCATGAATGAAGGAAGGGACACGGGAATGAGGTCAGAAACCGCAAATACCCGCGACTACATGAAGAAAGGAAGCGAATGTAGGTGAGCTGTATGAAAAATATATGTGATGAGACTTTCCTCTTTTTATATTATTTTTTTTTATGAATCACGCGAATATGACAAAACTACTATGCGTATTTTTATGAATAAAAAATCTGTAAGATTTTAGACAACAAATTGTCTTTCTTTCTCTTTTTTTAGTAATTAAAACAGCTGCGTCTTGATTAAAAATAAATGTGTAAGTCAGTGAACTGCTAGGTAGAAAGACACTCGTTAATTTTGCATTTATTGAAAATACTTCAATCCTACAGAATTTTTATTACTTATAATATAAACAAAAGACACTTGTAAAAATTTCACAAAATACTACTACTCATTTTTTACACAGATAAAAGAAGATATTTTTTAAAGCTCTAGGTTAATGCTGCGACTCTAACTCGGACGTTCAGTTCAATCCGTAAAATAATTTTTTTAAAATAGCAAGAATTTTCTAATTAGTCACAATTGTGCATTGATGCATAATTCAAAAGTCAAGTGCCTTGAGCGCAGCTCTTCGTACTTTCTTATAGTAGAAAGACAGTGCCAAAAAGTGAAATTTGATCATCTATTTATTTATTTATTTATTTTTTGATCACTAAATTGCAATTTCTACTCATCCCATACTCGCCAATAGTTTCTTATTTTTGAAAAGTGAAACTGAGATCTTTATTCATCAAGCACGTAGACGAGTTTTTACTAGTTCTTTTTTGATGCATTTCAGTACCGAATATTTCCGGTTTTAATCCACGAGCGGATCTTTTATGGATATTTTTTTAAATAGCATGGTTGGACAAATGCCGGAGAAGTAGAATTGAAATGGTCTCTTCTTAATAATCTTTTTAACTCGAACGCCATAACACGTGAAAATAGAAAACCCGAGGGTTTTTTATTTGAAAATTCTCCGCTTCAACAGAACTATAATACCTTTTTGTGAAGGTATATGTAAATTTGCCGAGAAGCAGCTCTGCTACAACTAGTTGAAATAATAGCTTAGAAACTATTATTGGAGAAAAATAAGGCAATTAATTTCAATAAAAATTTCAAGCAGAGGCGTACAATTTTTCACTTTTGATCATTCAGATAAAATGCATCTTACTTATTTCGGCTATAATTACTCATATTCTTCCGTTACATCTTGTACAATAAGTAACGCATGACGCAGTGCTATTCTCACTTGAAAAAAACGTATGCCTTCCATTTCGGAATAGTTATTATCATATAATTACGATAATCTTTTTAATAATTTAATTAGAAAAAAAGCTAAAGCCGAATATACATTAAGTAGCTTCAATTATATGCTCTGCTCAAAGTCTTATCTTTTCTGAGACGATGTGCTAGCCTACCTAGTTTTCAAATTTACGTTTTTTTATTAATATTAAAGTAGAGAGAATTGTTTGACGATGTTTCGTTTTCCGTTTCGTTCTAACTTTCACGATACTACCGTTCTAATATGTTGAAGTTTTGTGTACAATTAAACGACACAAATGATTTATAAACTTTAATGCCTCGCAGATTAGTTATGTTTTGTTAGATAATTGAATGATTTAGGAATAAATTAAATTAAGCGGCAAATGGGAGTATGTCCGGTTTACTAAGAAAATAATGCACTAAACAAAAAGTCCTAATAAAATAAAAAAAAAAAGAAAAAAAACGAAAAATAAAAAAAATAAAAAATAAAAATCAATTCAATGACTGACTCTTACCGAGTTTTCACGTAATGACTTTGATACGAGATGTTTGTGTGTTCAAAAATCCAAACTGCTTTTACAACGATGAAAAGATTACAATAATTTTCAACGTCAGTAAAAATTGAGCAAGTGCAAAAATGAATGATTAGTAGAACGATATTTTTTATTTATATTTTTATTTTTATATATCATACTCAACTGAAAATTGTTGAAGCAATTACTAATAAAATAACGAAAAACAAGAAAAAAAATGTTAAGAATTGACGTTTATTAGATTTTAACAAATAGTCACTTTTAAATCAAATTGTGACAGTTCAAAATAAAGTTAACGAATGCCTCATACCAAATAGAATCTCGTTATTTTTCAGAGAGTGAATTATGGACGACTGAACGTGCACAAAAAAATAGAAAAATGCATTTTCGCCATGAATGATCTGTTGATCATTTTTGACTTTAAATAGGGAGAAATAAAGAACATATGTACCTCTAATCGCAATTAATGAAAAAAATTATATAATTTTTTAGTCCAACTAAGTAAAAAATTGTGTGATCGGATAATTACAATTGTCTGGTGAAGTGGATGCTGGTGCGTGAGAGTGAAAGAATGATACTGAGTGAATAATGCTAAATGGGTTACAGAGTATGGACAATTAAAATTGAAGAACGAAAAGAAATTTGCGGAATGCTAAACACTCACGTTAAACGAAAGCAAAATGTATTTCTGTTGTACTTAAGCTTCACAGTTGTTATCGCCTCAACGGCACTGCCGACGATCTTTCAACACTTGCAGAATATTATAAATGAAGATATTGTTTTCTAAATTAATCTAACAGCGAAGTTACTTGAAATATTGAAAACATTATTTTCATCAAGTAAGTAAGATCGTTGACAGTCTTTTGGTTTGTGGAATTCAATCATTGATTTTGTCATTATTTTTTATTTTCCCATGTCGAGTCGCTGCGACTATTATATTATGAATAAATAAATACATAATTTAATTTTGTTTACTGTTATTATTGCAAACGTAATCCTCAACCTCATCCTTTCATCAACTATAATTATTACATAATTAAGATGTACTCAAATTGTAGTTTGCATATATACAGGGATAGACTTGAAATGTTTAATATAACATTTTTTATTCAAGTTGCTTTCAAAGAAATCTAACTCATGTATTTTAAAAATAAATGTTTCGGCGTTTGATTGACGTTATTTATCTAAAAATAATTAGATTTATCTATAAAATATTCATTTAGTATCAATTAGTTAAGTTATCTATTGTATATTTATTGTTGATGAAGTGTTTTTTTTTGCCAAATGCCAAATAAAAAGTCAGTTAAAAAATGCCATTCGTAATTACGATGACAGTGATGATGGCAATGAAAAAAAATTGATATAAACTAATATTCATGGACGGGAAATCAAGTAGTTCAAATGAAGTCTTGTGGAATACAGACAATCTCTAGCTTCGCGATACTTGAGCGACTAGTAATTTTCCTATGTGCTATATAATTATTGATAAGCCAAAGAATCAAATAATATAGTTAAGTGAGAAGTAGCATTGACGTGGGTCTTTTGTGACTTTCATCCGCACAACAATGCGTCAAATCCATATGGTGATAACCCCAACAGTCACTAACTGTCGCGTTATTTTACTTTATATAGCTTTTGTTTCAACTCATTGAAAATGTTTGTCTCTTTAATGATATGGCATACTTCAATTCTAATGTATGACTAAATCGGATTTTTTTCGTAAATCAATACCTTAAAGAAAACAGAAAATACATAATAATAATTTAAATCGAGAAAAAAATTAGTATTATTTTAACAATTTCAATAAGTTTTATCGTAGAGAAAATTTTTTAGTCGATGCAAAAATGAAGTACAAAACTTCAGTTGATTATAAAGATAAAACATCATCGTCGCGTGGTGATGAATCTTAAATTGACGCGAAGTTGGTTATTGCTTAATAGGAAAAGAAATTGAGTCACCGATAAATCGTTTGAAAAAGCTCTTGCAGCGATAGCTTGAGAGTAGTGAGGACGAGGCAAGATGTACACGGGAAAGCGATTGCAGAATGTTCAGTGAGCAGGAGATAAAATAGCTATGATTGTACAACATAGTTTAGTTTGTGGTCAAACTCGCTTCCTTGCTGTTCAACTAGTGGTCGAAAGGTCTAAGGCGAAAAAACTTGCTGTCGAACATCTGAAACTTAGTCAAAACGTTTATATTTCCGCCTGTTTTAATTAATTGCTCGCAATTCCTTATCGCATTTTTATTTCCTATCGCCGCTGTCCGCTGAGTATTCGCGGTTCGTTCGGATTGGTCCGTTCATCAGAAGGTGACAAGTGATGCAATCGAGCGTTTCATAACGATATTTTAACATAATTATTATAAAATTTCAATATGTAGGTTTCGCAAAATATTTCTCTACTTATGGAACTAAATGAAATCTTAGATTGAGAGTTTAATGAACTTGACATTTTTGCATAAAATACTTGACAATAAATGAGTACTACATCTAGTAAGTGACGATAAGATTTATCTCAAAAATCAGTAATTAGGAATTAATAACATACAAAAGTGGCAAGTTTCTTGTTGATTAACGTTTGTTACACTATCATCTAATAACTTCTGAATAATTTATAATTATAATCTAATTTCGTGTTCCTTTAATTGGAAAATGTATGTAGTTGTATATTTAATTGTTATTCCCTTGGCTTGTAAATTGGACAAACGTATAATTATACTTTTAGAACAATCCGGCTCCTATTCGTTTTATTAATCATTGTGAAATTATAAACGATCTTTTACGTTCAAAATCTTGCATACCGAGTACAGGAGAAATAATGTTATAGAGAAGAAAATTTACGTCACTGAACTATAAAGTTTGCTGCATAAAATGCCACTGTCAATACTCAAAGACATTAAAGTAACTTAAAGAAATCTCGCGTTTTATGTAGCAGAAACTACGTGTTGTTCAATATTTCACGTCGCTTCTGCTAGTTTACGAACTCGGCAACAATGTTACAAAAATTTAATCGCATTCCTTCTTAGTTAACTATGTTGGATTCTTAAGCTTTGCACACTGCTTATCGCAGTGATGAATGAATGTTTCAAAATTTTTCGACAGTTAATGAGTTTGAAGAAAAAATAAACCATCGCTGATAAGGCATCAAGTCGAGCGATAAAACATCATCAAAGCAAGACACGTGTGGCGCTAATATCCCTTACGCGACAGACACTTTACAAATAGAAACTTAGTAGTTGCATTTGATATAGACAAATAAGGCTTAAAGTAATGAAATCCGTAGATATGCTATTTTATGCTTATACCATCACGCATAAATTACAATATCTAATCTGCTCGCGTCAATAAAAAAGATCCAACAAGCGTTTCAACAACTTTGTCAGAAGCTTCATATTCGATCAAATATCATGTCTTGAGAAGAAAAAAATTGTTAAAATATTACATAAGTAATGAAGATACGACCATGTCACATAATTAGCTTACAACGCGTATATTTAACAATGTGATTCTGCTAAATTTTATTAATAATATTACTTTCACTTTTTTTTCATCTTCTTATCTACTATTATATCGAGGTGGGGTGAGAAAAGTGATAAAAAGTAATTTCATCTCATCCAGTTCTCGCGAGGCTATTCTAATTGTGGCTTTTATCGGAGTCTCGTATTGGGAGGCGAGTGCAACTTGACGGAGAAGAATTTCGGTCAATCGTGCACGCGCACAGCTGATAAGATTATTATTCGTGCAAAGAACGGGCCAAGTTGCGTTAGCTGCGATGCTGATAGTCCTAGCGCTGGTGACATTTGAAAATTTTGTCCCAAGGTGCTCACAGATTGACAAAAAACTCCGAGCGGATAAAATATCCTGTAAAACTACGAGCGCTTCATAAAACAAACTCAAATTGTCAGTACCGCTAGGACTATGACTCACGAAGAGTTTCCGTGCGAGTATTCGTGACATGCAGCTGCCAATGTAACGCGACTAATCTAGCGTTAGCTACTTGATAAATGCTCGTGTCATCGAGCCCGAACGAGCGCGATTACCACTGCTACATGGAATTCGCAGTATACGCACAGTCAAGTTCTTATCAAGCCATGAACCTACCAGTAAAAGAAAGTAGTACCAGAGTTTACACATACTCTCTTTCATACTCACGCTTGACGATTACGTTGTGATTCCTCCCGTAGCATTCTAATAAATTAATATTCCAATTATAACGATGACGTTATGTGAATAAAAGTAAATCAAATAGTAGATATGAAATAAAAAATGCGTAATCGCGGAGATATCTGTGGGCCATTAGGTAAAAATCACACGAGAAAGTTTATTTGTCTAGACCAACGTTGATCCTAAGTCTCAAGATAACAAAGTAAGAAAATATATTCATGTTTACGAAGTTAATTTTCAACACGTCATTAAAATTTTACAATGGTTCAAAATAAAGACAGGTTGTATCTGAAGCGTTAAAAATAGTTTTATATGGTGGGGCTTGATTATTTATTGTCAGTTGAGGTTGAGCAAATCACATCTTGCACCGACAGATAAGACAATCTATAAATGAACATTGAGTAGCTCGTCAAAGAATATTTTTGAACAATATAAAAAAAGCAATCTTTTCCATAATCATTTAACCAAGGGCAGTGATTATAATTGTATGTCTGCATTTAATAAAATAAAATATTGTACGAGCAGTTAAATTAATGTTTTCTTTCTAAAGTGGTTTCATTTTATTTTTGAAAATTATTAACTGAGTAGATGTATTAAAAGTAGAAACGTAAGACTTGTTTCGTAGAGCATCGGCCGAAAGAGATGAAAATTCAACCTTTAATTCTTGGCTCAGAATCACTAAGTGGTTGCTTATTTGGATACAAGATTGGTTATACGTTTAAAATCTCTTTTCGCGCGCGAGATTTCATAGAGAAATAAGTATATTAGTCAATAATCTTTATGCGCAATCCACACCGCTACTAGAAAATAATGAAGGATTTCGCGCGCAAACTGCTTGTCGCCAAATCGTCTCTATGTATAATCGTTATGTTCGAAATCTAAATAGATACATTCAAACGCAGGCACTGTGCGTGCCACAGTTACATCCAGACGAGAACACCAACTTAATGCAACGAGCGTAGCGACGCATGCGCTAAAGTTAGTGATGGCGAGATCCGAGCAACGAGCAATATATAGTGCAGGATATGTCGCGCGTGCCGATCCTTGTAATTTTGGGTGCAACTGGGTCGGGTAAGTCGCGACTGGGGATCGAGCTGGCCCGCAGATTCCGCGGCGAGATCATCTCCGCTGACAGCATGCAGGTAAGTCCCGGCTCCATCAATCTATACGTCCGTTCGCCCGACAGCCAGCATTTTGAGGTTATCGAGCGGCAATGTGCTCGTAGTTGTAATATAAACAGCACGTTGGATCTACTATAACAGCTGTCTTCTTTTACTCTCTCCCTTTCGTTATATCTCATAGTGGCACTGTCATTACATTTTGTGCTTTGGAATGCAATTTATTCTTCAATGTTGCGTCTCTAAGAGTAGCAATTTAATGACGAGCTCTGTATAATCGATACCAAAAGTACAGCTCTTCAAGTCCACTGATGATTTTAGATAGAACAAGTGTACAGAATACTGATTTGAACACATTGTTCGACGCGTGACAACCTCATATATCGATCAAACATGAAAACTACTACAAGAGTTCATGTTATCACGAATTAGTTTAGGTATTCGCACAATAGCCACGTCGTAAATCAATCATAATAGTAAGTAGATATAAGCTTTGAAGGAAAGGTATGTACTATGCTGTTGAAGAAAAAGTAGTACATACGTCCGACGAAAAGAAATGGCTGCGTTACAAAGTTTAATGTAAAATAAACGTTTTTTTACATTTTGACAAAGAATATTTACACGTAAGGTCACTTAACTTCTACCATTTTTCGCCACTAAAATTACCTATAAAATGATTCGCAACGTTTGTTAAAATCATACCAATACTACGCTATCAATACAAGTATTGTCCAAAATCTATAAAAATAACCTTTTTGTTGATTAGTTCATAGCTTTTGCAAAATGCTAAACATTAATTACATAAGTAATTTAAACTGTGTGTTGTAATGTATTTTCTAAATTTCAATCAAAAATATTATAAATCTAGAAATTTTTGACGAATTTACGAAAAACGTGGACTCGCTAAGTATATAGGAACAAACTTAGGATTGTATGTTTGTTTAAATCATTGATATATTCCCTCTAATTATTAATATTAGGCGATGGAATTGGTATCACTGTTTCAAATAATAGTTTCTTAAAAAGTTTAGTTTTTTGAAAAATTCTTGAGGTTCATAGCATAGAAATATCTTCCATAAAATCATTGTAAAAAAATAAAAGCGTTGCTCAGATCTGGACCGCAGTGTGTAGTACGGTGGTGGGAGGAGTGAGTTTGAAGGCTGATAACGCGCACGAGAAAAAGTTGTAGCGTGTCTTAAAATTTAAAATGAGTCAAAAATTTGCATTTTCAAGGTAACTTATGCATAGAAATTTATAATTTTTTTATATTTTGGAGCTCAACAAAATATTTACTCTTGCGTAAATAATTTTCATGAAAAATCATTATTTACTATTGTAATTTTAACGTTTCTTATTGTTGGTCATTATTATAAATAATTTTCAAATAATTTTCGTATTTTACATAACTAACTGAATATTTTACGATCAACTATTCAGTGACATAATATCTTCTTTCATAATAATTTCTTTCTAGTGTAAATAAATAAATTTTTATTACAAATAGGTAGACAAATTGTTTCAATTGAATAAGGTTATTTTATTTGTATTTTTATTATGTATTAAAAATCCAAAAGTTCTTATTTATGATTTCCAAAACAATTTATTTATGGTATATTATTATCTTAACTACTTGTACTTGAGAGAACTCGTAATTGTATACAATATTTTAGTCATATTTCAAGGTATACTAACTACTTATTTCACTTCAAGGAATTTTTCTTCTTTTTTTTGTAAATCTTTCTAGTTTATTATAGTCTTCACCACTAATTTCAACAGTTGAACCTCTGAGTTCAGATTTTAATTGAAGACATCATTAATTTGATTCATTACTTAATCTATTTCGTCAGTATTCTGTACATTAATCGTGTCATCGCATATACCAAATTTTGTAAAATTTGGCTTTAAACCATTGGCTTTCATTTTTCAACCCCGATCTATTGCATTATTTTTATTTCCAAACCATGTTGGTATTTGATAGTAACCATATAAACAATGCTGTGGAGCTGCTGCTTCCTATGCTACTACTAACTGCTACTTATTATTGGTGCGAAGTTCGATAGCCGTATTAATTATCAATGCATCAGCATCTTTTTCAACTACTTCAAACTCTTAGCTTACTATACGAATAAGCTGCTATTTGTTTTCGTCGTGTGATAAAAATTTATCTTAAGTGACAGATAGAGTTGAATCGATATTAATCATATAATCGTAACATAAGTTTATATTTTGCTGTCGAGTACGTTCTACAGATTTGATATATGTTTTTTCTAGTTTCGTCTGATTAGTCATTAAAGATAACGTGAGAATTTTCCAAAAAATTGTTGACAACATAGTTGGCGTACTTTTGAAGAATAATGTATATCCATTAGTCCAAATGATTCGATGAAGAAAGAGTCCCTATCAAGATCAAAAACATAGACATTCTTGCTAGATTGTTCATCGATCTTTGAAATATTTTGAAAGATTTGTTTTCTGTTTACTTTGGCAGAGACAATCAATGGTTCGAACAAACAAAATCCTACGCCTCCTTTTGCACTTAATGATTCCATTTTTTTACAAATTCATCAAAAATTGACGGCTTTGTGATAATATTTATTGAAATTTAGAACCTACTTTCATTACAGAACCTATGTTTCATATAGTTTGTATTGCATTTTCAATTAATATTTGGTAATTTTCAAAAGCCATTAGTTAATCAATAAACAGCTTATTTCAATGATTACCCTGCAATAACTTTATGTAAAAGTTTTATTTTAACCTTCGATGAATTATTGTGAACACAATTTCAATGCTAAAAATGATAAAAATTATGTGGCCACGTATATAAAAAGTTTATTGTCAAAAAGTAAAAAAAAGCATTTTTTGATTGTTTCGCTAATTGTTTTTAGCGCATTTCTTTACGTCTCATTGACATACCACACTTTTTTTCAACAGCATAGTACACATTTTCTCTCTAAGGCTTATCTCTACTTGTAATTATTGTTGGTGATTCTCTTAGACAGTCTGGACTAAATGACACATTACCATCGTTGCAGAGCATTTACTTATCCAATGAGTTTTATTGTATAATTGTTTTCTTCCTAGATATGATGATTATTTCAACAATTATCCAACGTGACTCAAAGTTAGCGTTCCAAATAAAGTTTGATAAAATTCAGCCGGCGATAAATCTTAATTAAAAGCGGCTTAAATTTAGTCACAAATAATGTTGTAGTTTAAAGCAAACTTGATTACTGCACGTATTTTCCCTCGTAAGTAAGTGTCGAAATTTTGGCGTTCTCAGTTGACTGCTGCATCTAGTAATAAACATGATTACAAATGCCGATTATCCGAGGGCAACGAAATAACAAGAAGCCGAGTTCTTATCAGTCATGTTTCACGAAAATCGTTCTTACAGAGTTTTGAACTTGTCGACAGTCTCTGAAGCATAGAAAAAATTCGAGGATACGTACACACGCGCGCGCACGCAGGCAAGAAAGCAGAAAGCCAGATGAATAACGATGGGAGCCGGGGTCCGTACGCACGAGCGCGCGGGCAGACGAGTTTTCCCGTGCGCGGACAAAGCGCGCAGTAGTAGAGCGCAGCTGCTCGCTCGAACGGCTACTTCGAGCGCAACACGCGCACCGACGAATTTTACGTGGCGTACGCGAAGAATGTCACCAAGAGTACCACGAACTCGGCGTCGTTTCAGCCACTTGTACGCAGTGTTTCGTATACATGTAGAACCGAAAAGAACTTGCACCCGTCACGATCAATCCTTACCACATTTTTCGTTGAAAGAAAAGAACTTAATTTTCGGAAATTACTAAGCACCTAAGAGTACTAACGTCAATCCGAGCTCAAATCCCAAAATTAAATTATAGGAAATAAATTAATATGTAGTTTATCAAGCATTTTTATTCGAGGAATTCGAACTTGATTATTGTTGTTGATTAAATTTCGAAAAACCATGAAAAATCACGTAGAATTCGCGTTTTGTCCTAAGTGAGTTTGCGGGCGTGGCATTGTCAAGCGACCTCGACAAGTAAAAGGGTACGGCAGTGCCGGGGAAGCTGAGCCCGCCGACTCGATAATTCTTTCGGCCGAGTGTTCGCCCGGAGATAGAGAGCCCACGGTCGCGCGTAGAGCCGCGCGAAAGGACAGCCCATCCCAGCTGAGACGTGAATGCAGGAAGTGGGATGTACAAATTTGACGAGTCCCCCCGCGCCCGCAGCGACTTGGCGACACATGTGTGCCACAGCACTCGGCCAATTATTTGTCGTGCTTATAGATCTGCCTGCCTTTTTTCAGTTCGCCGTCGTGGGAGGCTGCGAATATAGTCGTCCAGTTCGTTCGCGCTACGCATACGAAAGAGCGAGTCTGTATGTGTTAATTCTTTTCTTTCTTTCGTTCTTCCATTCGACTGGTTCGCGCTAGCGTTTTTATCTTTTTTTTCAAGCGCCGTTCCATTGAAAAATTGTTACTCAGCAGCGGCGCCTTTCTTCGGACAAAATTAATCAGCAGCCCTTGACTCTTGGCGCGGGAGAAATTCGTGCTGCTTTTGACCGAACGCCAAATTATTATTATTTCTTCTCTTCGGGCTGACTCGCGAAAACGAGTCGATTGACTGAGCACACTTCGAGAGTCTCTAATTAACTGGTTAAGCAGTGTCGTTAAGTCCTATGTCGACGATCGAGGCCGTCAGAGAAAAATTCACAGCAAGGCTCATTAAAATTTTTCTATTTTTTCTCTGTTTCGTTAGACAGAAAGAAGCGAGATAAGGTGTGTCCCTGGCGGATAGGGGCTTTCGTAAGGATCGTGAGAAAAAAAGTCGGATATCTAATACAAAATGATGATTGACGCAGTTATCCAATCAATGCTGAGAATGTCTGCACGGTACGAGAGAGAGAGTACAGAGACGCACTGGCACACACATAAATTAGTGTATGTCCGTGAATTCGAATAAGATTTCGCGGAAAACCGAGAGTCGGTAGTTTGAATAAATAAATAATTCATAGGCGCGAGGCATTAGAGAAACTTTGAAA